TCCCCCTCCCCCCGTCTCTCTTCTTCTCTCTCCTCCCCTTCCCCCTCCCCTCTCCCTCTCCCTCTCCCTCTCCCTCTCCCTCTCCTCCCCTCCCCTCCCCTCCCCTCCCTCCACAGGTCAACCTCAACAGCATCAAGAGGTGTTTGCTCATCAGCTACGACGCAGAAACGCAGCTCCTCGATTTCAGGCATTAGTGAGTGTCGCGCCCCTGATTTTGGGAGGGGTCCCTGCGCCCCGCGTCCCAGCGCTGACCTCTTCCTCCTCCTCCTCCTCCTCGCAGCAGCGTGAAGGTCGTGCCCGTGGGCATGAGCAAAGGCCTGAAGAAGCTGCTGCAGGAGAAGTTCCCCAACATGAGCCGCCTGGAAGACATCAGCGAGCTGCTGGTGAAGTGCGTGGCGGGGCGCCGAGGGGGACGGGGGTCCCAGAGGCGCCTTCCGGCCCGTCCCCAAACGCGGTCCTCTCCCCCGGCAGAGACATAAACCTGTCGGAGAGCGAGGCCGAGCAGGACGGGACCCACAACGTGCTGGAGCTGCCGCAGGCGTACGCCGGCCGAGGCAACATGAAGGCGCAGCAGAGCGCCGTGCGCCTCACCGAGGTCCGTGACGGCGGTGATGCCGTGGTTGCTGCCGCCCCGGGGATGTGATCGAGCCTGACCGGAGCTCTCCGCATCCCCCCCTTCCTGCAGATCGGACCCCGCATGACCCTGCAGCTCATCAAGGTGGAGGAGGGCCTGGCGCAGGGCAACGTGCTCTACCACAGCTTCGGTAAGTGCCGCAAAACGCCGGTTCCGGTAACCTGACGGCGCAGGGGCTCAGGCCAGGGCGTCTCACCCCTCTCCCCCTGTGTTTTAAGTCCACAAGACGGAGGCGGAGGTGAAGGAGATCCTGGCGCGGAAGGAGGCGAAGCTGCAGCTGAAGGCGGAGCGGCGGCAGAAGCAGGAGGCGGACGTGGAGCGCAAGCGGCGGCAGCGGGAGGCTCACAGGTGAGGGCAGCGCGGCAGCGGCGGGGGGGGGGGGCGGGCGGGGGGGGGGGGGG